ATGTCTTAGAATCGTACTTATTTGTACAATTTTGTTAGCAAAATAATTAACAATCAAATAATTATATCATGTTTTAACCTTGTCTAAGGCTGAAGTCAAAAGTGCTTGTACAAGAACATACCTCAGCTGTACCCTGGCTGCTCGTGACTGATATTTTGATTTGGCTCAGCACGTCCGTGAACCATGCTAATTGCTCATCCACGTTATGGTGTTTGGATTCCWTTAATGAAAACAATGACTTTACCATCGTCCATAACATCACATTAGAAGACTCTTGATTGGTTAACTTCAGAAGCCACGTGACACATGAATTAAGCCATTTGATTGGTGCCTGTCCACTACTGACTAAATGACATCGAATGACGACAGAATTCTGGTGACATATCTGTTAAATAGAGAGCAATGAGTAATGYATGTCCATACTGAAGATGGGAGCACATCCCTCCTTTTCCCTTGTTCCTCCGGTATTTCCCTCGTATACACCTTGATCATAATGGCTGCAATTGTGTTTTTCCAAAATAAAATAGATATGAATATTTTGTCACTGTAACATCAAAGAACTATCAGAAATAAACGTTTTTGAAACGTTTTAGAACTCTGGACAAAAAAGGAAAAAAGTTATGGTGAAATGAAAATACAAAGAGATGTATGGTAATTTTCCGTCAATGGCTGTCTGTCAATGGCTGTCTGTTTCTGAATATGAAATATGTGAAAACTTTGTCACTGTCATGTGAATGAACTACCARAAATAAACATTTTTGGAAAGTTTTACAGCCCTGGATAAAATGCGAGCAAAGTTATGGCGAAATGAAAATACAAAGAAAAGTATGTAATTTTCAGCCAAGGCCTTTATAGCCTCGTTCTGGTGTTATGATATATTTTAAATGCTTATAACTTCACCAGAATTAAATATTTTCATTTCAAACTTTTATATGTTGTTATTAGCACAGGTTCCTATCAGCTGTTAGTTTACTTTGACTAAAATTCTAAATTTTAAAAATTTATGTTAATTAGATGGCGGCCATTATGGTAAAGGTGTAAACGAATGCCAGTGTGGCATAAATTTCCTTTTTCAACTCCTATCCTACGCACGACATTTTAAAAATGGCGCCGATATGTCACGGTCGCCGATAAGGGGACTGGGRACGAAGCATGAAAGCTTACCCAAAATCCCTTTCGGTCTTTGCTTTGATTTAACCTGATAACATTTTTTCAATAAGAGCCCACTTGAACCAATAATTTTTTTGTCAATCGAGGAACGCCTGCCAGGAAACGTGTTTGTTTTKCTAACAGCTGCAAGTAGCTCTGCGGGTGCTTATTTCTAAACTGAAACTGAAAGTTACTGAAAATTTATCTTAACATCCTAAAGTCTTTGCTGTGACTTTAACCAAAGTTTCTTGAAGAAACAAAATAGTATGGRGTCACCGTGGCAAACAGAACTTTCTACTCTCAGAGAACGTAGTAAGTACGCCTTCAACAACTCCTTGTTTTGTGATGTTAAGTTCTCGGTTGAAGACGATAACGGAAAAAAAGTCACCATTCCATCCAACAAGTATGTGCTGGCTGTTACCAGTCCTGTCTTTGCTGCCATGTTTTACGGTGATCTAGCCGAGACTAAACCAATCATTCCCATAAAAGAGTGCACTAAGGAAGGACTGCAAGAAATGCTTCGCTATGCACATTGTGAAGAAGTCCATTTAACAAGCAAGAACGTTATTGATGTACTAAACCTTTCCAAGAGATACATTATGCCATTCCTGGAAGAAAAATGCAAGGARTATCTTGGACCTGAAGATGTGTTTAGCATTTTACCACAAATACAGGAAATGGGAGATGAAGACCTTCAAGAACACTTATGGGACATTGTTGACAGCGAAACTTATCGAGCAATTCTTCTGAGTCATTTTTGAGTGTGTCCAAAGAAATGATTTGCCAGTTGCTCGAGAGAGACGCTCTACGAGTCTCTGAACAACATCTTTTCCAAGCTGTAGATAAATGGGCTAACAGGCAGATAGAGGAAAGGAACTTGGTCTGTGACGGTGAAACAAAAAGAGCCATTCTTGGAGATGAGGTCRTCCGACTGTTTAGATTTTCACTAATGCCTGAAAASAGCTTTGTTGCAATTGTACTTCCTCTTAATGTTTTGAATATTGGTGAAGTAACAGAATTGCTTCAAATTTTCAAWGGTATAAGTCCTTCGACACAAGTGTTTGATAGCAGAAGACGAGGRTTCCTTCCTGATGTAMTGAGGTTCTGCACCATTAGTCCAGAGACATCATGGTGTTCCAGCGAACCTGATGCGATATGTRTCACTGTTAACAAAGATGTYCATCTGGTCGGTATACGATTGTTTGGCAAASAAGACKCTCAATACGATGTTCAATTCAAAATCTACACAAACAATCGAAGTGATTGTCTTGTCACGTTATCGTCCTCGTTCATGACTGACAGTGCAAAGATAGATGGCTTRTATTATGGRTTTACGGTTATGCTAAAAAATCCTAAAAAGCTAGTCGCTGGTMAGGTGTATACATTGGAAGCGGCAATAAGAGGACCAAACTCGTATTGYGGACAGTGCGGTCATAAAAGTGTGCAAACAGGAGACATTGTAGTAACTTTCTTCACTGCTTCTCTTCCTAATAACAATAATGACACCGATCAGGGCCAGTTTCCTTCCCTGATTTTGCAATAACCGTGTAGATTCTTTATTTATGYTATAGCACAGAATTTTCATCAATTTTTAATATTGGTTTCCGGTCAAAAAAAAAAAAAGTCAACTTTCATCGCTTTGATAGGT